AAATAAAATTGAATAAATATATATAACAAAAAATTAATTTACAAATATGATTAAAACATAGAAATCGATGAACAAATAAGTATAACATTTACATACCTTTTAATTTGGTTGTTCTTTGTTTTCTATATGATTAAGTATTAGATTTAGGGATGTTTTTAGAGAATTGAGAAAGAGATGGATGATTTAAAAAATAGATGACAACAAAGAGAAACAATAGAGATGACGATTTTTATAATTGTGTTTTTGCAAAGTAATTTGGTATTAGAAAACCTATCAAAGTATAATTAGAAAAGGATTTTAAATTAAAAAAGATTAAACAAAAAGTAATAATATAACGGCACACACTTAAAAACATACTTACCCTAATTTTTTATAAAAAAGGGAATAATAAAAAAGAAAAAAAAATAAGGGGGCCCACATAAAAAGGTAACGGGGGCATTCTCTCAAACTTATAAGAATTGTAAATAAATTAATGTTTTTTTTATTTTTTTTAGTGGGGTTCTGTGACCCCAATCCCCTCCACGTACATCCGTCACTGTATATATATATAAATGTAATATATATATATATATATATGTATGTGTATGAGTATTTATATTTATATGTAACATATAACATATATATATGTACATATATATATGTGTAAATATATGTTTGTAACTTCGTATATATATATATATATATTTATGTATATATATATATATATATAAATGTATTTTATATTATATTTTTCTTTTTACTTTTCTAAAATTCAAGTTAATCAATAAATTACATGAAACTATAAGTATCTATTTTAAAATTAATTATGTCTGTATATATGTATATGTATGTATATATGTGTGTGTATGTGAGTGTATATATATCTAGATTTATTTATTAAATTTAGAAAAAAAATTCCATATAAATATATCAATTTTACAAAATATACCAAATAAATATTTACACTTTTAATTTTACCTTATTGATACCTCAAATATAGAAATATGCTAAATACATATTCCAACTCACGAAATCAATAACAATTTACAACTTTAATTCATTTTTATATTGAATTTAACATTTAATTTTTACATCATTGATAAAATCGATATTGAGAATTGTTATTATTTTCTAGAATTTCAATTTTTATGTTGAAAATTAACATTTAATTTGTAACGCCTGAAACTCGCATCCCGCAATACGAGTTGCGTCACATGGACAAGTAAAATAAAATAACATTTCCAAAAATCTGCGGGAATTTAAAACTTTTCTTTTCAGAGTTTAGCGGAAGAAAAGCACTCATACATACATATACGGTACATTATCCCAGTTATAATTATACATAAACAGTGGTAGTATCACATTATTACAAACCATAAAAGTCTACCACCGATATAACACAAAACCGTTTCCCAAAAGCGTAAATGTACCATATAAAATAATTATACATGATCAAACGATAAGCTGCCCAGGTCTCCGATGTCCGCTCCTCGGCTACTGCTGCTCGCAATCTGAAACGTTGCGTAACAACGTCCTAAGCTAAATGCTTAAGGAGTGAACTCGGGCGTAACCCGGAGTTCCATTCTCATGGTGTCAGGGAAAACACATACATACATATATATATATATATAGTATTCTAATAAACAGGAATTGAAAACAAGAAATCACTGTAAGCATGCAGCAATCACAATCAAGTCCGTACGACAAGTCGCAGGACAGAGTCCGTCAAATCGTCTCTACGCGCACCATGCATAGGTAATGTACTCCCCATGTGCATAGCACAACCGTCTCTCTCCTCGGAATCCATCTACTCCGTAACCACTCGGAATCCGGCATAAGTATCTTTTTATTTTCTCCGCCCGAACACATCACCCCACCCTAGCATCGATGTCACCTCTCGATGTTAGGCGTGTACCTCTCAATACCGGAGCTCACCGGACGTCGGCTACAACCGACGCCATCGACTATAACGAGAGAGCCCATCGTTGCAACTCTCCCTCGCCGACCATCCGCCGCGGAAATACTTGTCAGGTTCGGGCCCGAACCTGGCAGAGTAAGTCCGTACCACCTCCTCGGGAGACCCCAATATACCCGAATCTCAGGTATATGATGCCCTCTTCCTCGGGATACTCATATCCCAGGGTCCGCTCCGTCGCTAGCGGAAACGTTGGTGCGGTTCCAAGAACTGTGTGTTCCTCGTCATGCAATAGTACCGACTACAATCGGCTATCCACGCAAGTCATCGGGGTGCCCATAACCGTCCAATCGTTCGGACGTTGGCGCGATCGTATCATCGCCACATTCACAATCATATCTCATATGTGTGGCAACCGACTCGGATCGGATGGCCCATAGATAGGACGCAATCTCGCAATCATCGTGCATTCATTCACAAACGTCCGTTTCTACAATCACGCGCTAAACGTTAATCTGAACCCTTCCGAATTAACGCTAGTGTCATGCCAGCTACCCCAGTCACACGCATTTATGTAGTTTATCGACTATACATGCATTTACGCTTGCGTAGTCTTTTATATTTAATTATATATTTTCTTTCAGTCTTTTCATTGATATTACCGAATTGTACCTCCGGTATGACTTAGCTGGTCCCGATCCACCCGGATAACCAGTTCGGTTCATTCCGTGGTTTTTAACCTTACCTGTTATTCATTTTGGGTCCAGACTACGTGGGGTCCGGTCTGGCCCGTATTTCCGGTATATTTTATATTTTTCACTTTTTCACAATTTGAGCCGGGGTAATACTAGGTCCGTCTTGTTAAGTTTTTCAATTTTCTACGTGGTGAATTTTCTGGGTTCCGTTAATCTTTTTTTTTTCGGGTCGGTCTGAGGTCAGACCGACCGGACTGATTTTTCGTCCAGACCGATCGGTCTACGTAATTTTTGGTCTCGGTCTAATTTCGGTCTAGACCGATCGGTCTAGTCACTGGACCGATCGGTCCGGACGTCGTCTTCAACCTCAGAATTTCGCGATTTCTTCTGTAACCCTAGACCGGTCGGTCTAACCCCGAACCGGTCGGTCTACGTCTCGGATTTCACCAAAATCACACAGACAAACTCGATTTGCTATGGGTAATTCATCAAAACTCATAAAATTTCATATACAACAAGAATCAAGCAATAATTTTGCACGAAACACACAAAAACCCAAAATCCCATGTTAATGAACTTCCGAATTAAACTCGAATTCAATCACCTCGGATTAAATTCGCGCGTTGGGTGAGGGATTGGAAGCTCGTGATGCTCTCCTTGATCTGTAGAGACCAAATCGGGCGTTAATTTCTTAGGTTTGAGAGGGAATTTCTTGGATTTGCAGAGAGGGTTGAGTATGGAGGGAGATGATGAAGAATTGGAACGGGAGAGGGGTTAAGAAGGCGTGGATTCGATAAATCCGGGTAGAAATCGGGCCCAGGGGTTGAAAAATCCGGATTTCGGTCGAAGATTTGACGGGTAAACGTCGTTTTCGGCCGAAAATCGCGACTTTCGTCGCTGCCCAGCACCTGGATCGGTCGGTCTACGTCTGGACCAGTCGGTCTAGGTCACTGTGTTCGTCGGGTCTTGCCGACAGTCTAGACCGGTCGGTCCAGATCTCTGGACCGGTCGGTCCATACTTTTTTTTTTTGAAAAATTGGGTTGTTACATAATTCATACAGAGTCGAAGATATGAATTGTTATCTTTTCATGAATTATGATATCTATTTAGAATATTTCAACATTTGAGGTATTAATTTGGAATATTTTAATATTTGATATCAATTAGCTAAATTTTAAAGTTTAGATATTTATTTGGTATATTTTATAAAATTGAGGTACTTTTATGGAATTTTTATTTATTTTTATTATTTAATTTATTATTTTTTAAGTAACTTATTATTTATCATATATAGTAATGAAACAAATGTTATATAGATATATAGAATGAGATTAATTAATATTTTTTTATCTAGATATTTATGAAGATATTATAATAAAATTAATAATTTTTATATGAGATTTATTGATTTGTAATATAATAATAGATAAATAAAAAATATAATGGCGAAAAAATTATCAACAAACTAAATAATACGATTTTAAATTATAACAAAAAATAAATAGTAAGAGAGATAAACTTAATCATTTATTCATATAATTTAATATTATTTTAAATAAAAAAATTAATAAAATATTTTAGATATAATAAAATTTAAATTTATGTCGAATAATTCAAACCGATATATACATATATATATATGTATATAATTTCGGATTTCGGATATGTATATGAAAAAATTATGTATCTATTCTATGTTTATGTATATATGTATGTAATATATAATATATATATGTATATATATGTATAACTATATATATATATAACAATAAGAACATCTAGAAAAAAATCATTGATATCGACTTTATACACGTATATAAATATACTAATATTTACTTATTTTTTATTTTTTTAAATATACAATTTAATAATAATTTATATTTTTAATAAAAAAAATAATGTATATAAATTTATATCAATAAATATTATAATTAAAATAATCATAAAAACATAACCCGAATATAATTTTTTAGAAGAGTACTGAATCAAATAAAAAATAATAAAAATAGAAAAAATTCTTTTTTCTTTAAATAAACATTTTCATCAATAAAACCAAAACCAAAATGAAAACCCAGACCCACACTAAATTAAAATCATGCTGCACCAAATCAAATCCAATATAAAAAACGAACGAATTCGAATATAATCGAAACCCGAATAACAACCACTAGTCTCAGATCCAAAATAATATTTTATCTAAGTTTAGATCGGTTTCCAAAAAAAAAGAGCCGCAGTTTTGTCTTGAACTCAGCTAGAAAATTCCAACATATTTGGCCTTGTCTAAACAAACGAAACCAATAATCGAAGCCTTCAAATATCTGAAACTTGGTATACGGACGACCACAAGCCGATGTTATGGAAGCTAGGCCTGGGATTATACGGTGAAATCCGTATACTATACACAGAATAATTCAATCGGAAGGAAACAGACAATCTGCGAATACGTTCAAAGCCAAAGGAAATCACAGAAACAAAGAAGCAACGATTTTGCAATTGCAACAGTGACCGCAAAAAGAACAAAGACCAAAATCTCTCAGTTTCTTCATCACAAGAAGAGATGTTTATTCCCTTTTACTACTCCTCTAGTCCTAAGTTTGTATAGTAGGCAATGAAATCAGTAAAGAGTTCATTTTCACCGTTCAATCGGAAGCACACATCCTCTACTCTTTGATCCGAGAAGGCTCTCCCACCGTGTTTTCCATCCGAGTGTACCATTCACCAATGCGCGTATTCTCCACCATATCCTTTCCAGATTTAAGATACCTTATTGGCCTCAGGACGCCGAAAACAGCTAGATCAGCCAAGTTTGGTTTTGAACCACCTGCCAATTGTTAATCTATAATCATCAAATTGGTCCGAAAATACGAGATGTGGTCTGTATAGTTTTTTTTAATCTTTTTTTGTATAGGCAAGATCAAACATGTGTTGTAGATAGCTCATACCGAGGTATGGACGGCCTTCCAAAGCATCAACCCACGTTTCCGCAGCTTCATACAGAGCTGCACGTTCATCAGTGATGTTATATTTCTTCTTAAGTTTCTTTGACACAAAGTACATAGCCGTTGCGCCGGCATACTTTGCCACTAATCTTTCCGTGAAGCTGAAATTGCCTGCAAATTTGTCAGCGGAGTACCATTATTACTATGTCGATGAAATGCAAACTCCAGCCAAAATCTCTCCACTGATGAGCTTTATAGCCACATCTTATCTGTTAAAGTCTCAAAAATGGAATGCCCGTTTACATCCGGTCAAATATTACAGCAGAAACATCTTCTGCGAAGAAAGAAATGGATGAGCATAGACGAGACTAATCATACCATGGGTGGTGATGTAATCAAAGGATTCGAGAGCCTCTGAAGTATTCCTGTATATGTTGGGCGACAAAAGATGTACAAGGTGATTGTCCACCCACCTGTGTAAGGTGCAACACATTATCAGCTTCATGCCACATAATAATAAAGTAGAACCCTAACTAGAAACGGTACATGAGACCATTTCGAAGAATGGAGGATCATACTTGCGCCATTTAGTCTCTTCATCATCTTCAGACTTCGGAAATTCTGAATGCATCCTTTGGGATAAGTTATCGATTATCTCTACGCCACACAACCAGAGAACACTCACTCATGAGCCAAGACAAATTCTACGCTATGGGTTCAGAAAAATAAAAAGGAGAAAAATCTGCAAGTCATAAAAGGACAGAGGACAAACCTGAAGAATCAACCAATGGTTCACCGTCAACAGTAAGAATTGGCACCTTCTTATAATCAGACCATTTTATCTCCTTTTTACTGATGGGATTCACTTCAACAACCTTGTAAGGAATCTTGTTGTAATCCAAGAAAGCTGAACCGTACAAGAGATGGCAAAATCAATCGAAAAAATGAGAATAAGGCTTCATCAATATTCAATAATCAAGCTACACAGACAATGAATTAAGAAAAAAATTGGCATAATCAGTCCGAAAATTTTACTTCTGGGCTAGTCGGATTGATATCGATTCGAAACAGATGCTACAACAAAGAAACATTTCAATGGGCTCGCATTTCTCACTGTTTCATATCACTTCATTTTAACCATAGATCGGAGAAAGATCTAAACATGGATCGAAAATTTCAAAACTTAAATTAAGATCCGAGAATTCGACATCGAACACTTCAATGGACACGACCAAAATACCTTTCACCTTGTTGCAGAAAGGACAAGCCTCGTACTGGTACAAAACCACTTCCTTGGGGCTAAATCTCCGCGTTGCCCCAGGCACCTCCTTGGCGTGAACTTCGTGAGCCAGAGACGACGCTGCCGCGGCAGAGAAAACCACGATTCCGGCGACTCCTCCGGCGAAAGACGGCGTTGAGAGGGCCAACAGATCATCCAGTAGGCGGGAGCGAGTCCCGGGGTTGGAGGACGAGGAGGAGCACGTGGTCATCATCATCGCCGCGCTTGCGAGCCGCGGCGGAGGAGTTGTAACGGCGGCGCGTGCGAAAAGTCCGGTAGCTCTCCTCATGGCGCGCGTGAAGAGACGTCAGAGAGATCTGGAATTGGATCGCGATCGTGTTTTTGAGTCTCTCCTGTGAAGCTGCGTTTTTGTAATTGCTGTGTTTGCTTACTCGTTAGAAGTTTTTAGGGTTTAAGCTGTGTCCACGTTTTTTCGTTTCGAGCATTCGGGATGTCTCGGACGACGACTGGATTCGGTACGTTCCGGTTTATTAAGATGTTTCCGGTTAGGAGAATTCATCGATCGAATCGAACCAATCCGAATTTAGTTCTGAAACCGTTTCCAAATGAATTCAAACTTGAATGGGTTTGAAATCAATAGAAGTTATAGAACTATGGCGAAACCAACGCCCACATTACAATTAGTTGAACTTTCTTTCGGTGTAAATTAATAAATCCAGACAAAATAAATCACATCACGAAAATAACTAGTTTGATTCTTTCGTGAATTCGGTTTTCAATTCAAGTTCATTTCAAATTATGTGTGAAAAACTCTCATTGTCTGGTTAGGAATTTGAAGCCTTTAGGAGGAGAGATGAGATTCGAAAGGATAATCTTCGATAAATGACCTTGAACTCCCCAAAACCGAGCTTGTGGGATCCGAAGTAATTTTTAGAAACGTTCCTTGTACAATTGAGAATTCTGTGACCTATGATATCTATGTTGGTTGTAATGCTCTACGATGATCCGTGATATGATATTTGATTTAATATTGATTTATTGGTTTATGAATACATTACTTTTCCCATTATATGATTGACATGTTTGTTATATTTCGGTAAATATCTTTGACTCATTGCAAAATGATTTTAAATTCTCTGATCAGTCATTATTGTGGGAACGATGATGAATTAACACTAGCATGAGGTGTGATTGATGATCATGGTAATGATTATATGCATTGGATGCAAATCACAATCGTGGGTACTCGTAGAGAACGAGTGACTAGATGACCCGCATGAGATTGTCACATGGACACGAGTCATGACTTGAATCTTATACAGCAATTCGTTCTTGGATCATCAGACCTGAGATGTCTAGAGTATCTGATATGAGGAGTGGTGTGTCTTGACTGCGTCAAACGTCGTCTTTAACCGGATGATTATAACGGCGTCGCTCAGATATGTTCACGAATCATATGGAGATAGTAGACATGCAATACGGGACTTGTCACCTCCTTAACGGGAGAGATATCGCTGGGCCCCTCGTGGAAATCGGACTGTGAAAACGCGTGGCCACGCTATAGATGAAGTTACATCTATTTTACTGATCGATTTGCCAAGACGAGAAAGCGGTCAAATTTGAAGGGTCCTTGTTCAACATATAATATCGTGAGACAAAGGATCAAAACTTGAGTTGTTGATGCCTTGACTAGATCACCTCTAACTCAATTCTAGGTGGGTGGTCATGACGTCTTGCTAGAAGCTAACCATGACTTGTGATTCGAGAAAAGTTCCCGAAGCAACTACTACTTAGAATGGGCCTACAGGGTCACACATCACTAAGGATGGATTTATACGTGAAGAATCTGAAGAAAGAAATTGAGATTGGACCGAAAGGAGCATGAGAAAGTGTTCTCAGTGTGTTGGTTCGAAACTGACCAAGTTTGGTCATCCAATGGATTTCTAATCAGTTTCACAAACTGATAGTGACCAGAGCACCATATCCATCATATTTCACTTTTGTTCTTTGACCTGTGATAACTATTGATATTAGGGCTGGACAAAAGTACCCGATTTTCGGGTATTCGATTTGTGGATATTCGATTTTCGGGTATCCGACTATAAACGGATCCGGGGCAAATAATAATTTGTAAATATCTACGGGACAAGTCTAAATCCGGGTATCCGACTATAAACGGAATCTTATGTATTATGCATTTTTGTAACATATATGATACATATTTTTTAGGGAGAATCGCCGTAAAATACCTGTACTTTTCCCTAATCTCAATTTAATACCTGTATTTTTTTAATTACTGAATAATACATGTACAATTGGTTTTTTCCTAAATAAATCTCATACTTTTAAATTATTGGCCAAAAAATCTCTACCGTCAAATAACAACCATGTAGATAAACAGAAATTCTACGTGGCGACAAAAATTTTCAACATCTCTCCCATCGCCACGTCAGAAATTAAATAAAAAATTAATAAATAATAAAGAAATTATTAATAATTATAAAATAATAAAAATAAATAATAAAAATATACATACACACATATACATATATACATATATAAATATACACATACACATACATATATATATATATACACATATATATAGACATGCATATATATATAACACATACACATACATGTATATACATATATTTATGTATTTATATGTATGTATATATATGTAGCATGTATATATGTGTATGCATATATATATATGTATTTATGTATGTATGTATTTATATATGTCTGTGTTTATATGTATGTATGTATATGTGTATATATATATTGGTATGTATACGTGTGTGTTTATATGTATGTATATATGTATATATGCATATATATATATATATGTGTTTATATGTATGTATATGTATATATGTATTGATATATATATATATGTATGTATATATGTATATATATGTATATTTATATATGTATTGGTATATATATATATATATATGTGTGTTTATATGTATGTATATATATGTATATATATGTGTGTATGTATATATTTATATATATATATGTACATGTATATATATTTTTATTATTTATTTTTTTATAATTTTTTATTTAATTAATTAATTAATTATTATTAATTTATTTATTATTTATTTAATTGCTGACGTGACGATGACGTGTCGATGATTAAGAGAGATGTTGAGAATTTTTGTCGCCACATAAAATTTTCGTTTGTTTACGTGGCGATTATTTGACGGTAGGGATTTTTGGCCAATAATTTAAAGGTATGAGATTTATTTCAGAAAAGACCAATTGTACAGATATTATTCAGTAATTAAAAAAATATAGATATTAAATTGAGACCAGAAAAAAATATAGGTATTTGACGACGATTCTCCCAATTTTTTTATTATTTTATTAATACTATTAGTAAATAATAGGTTAACTTTACCTTTTCCCTTTAACTTTTCACCACTCCCTCCCTTTCTCTAATTGTTTTTGGTCTTCTACGATTTTTCACTCTCCATCGGTCGTCATTGCATATCGTCGTCGTCTTCACCACCATCATGGAGCGTTCACCTATCTCTCTTTGTTGATCGTCTCTCGAATTTACCACAAATATGAGTGTATTTAGGACTTTTTGGTTTGATTTTTCGTTTTGATTTCTCATCCCTAGGTTTTTTGTTTTAATTTTTGAGGTTGTGATTTTGTTTCTAGTTCTTTGTTCTGGGTTTCAACGTTAGAAATATTTAAATTTCATTGTAGATTTTGTGTGGTTAGGGTTTGGGTTGTTAGTAATTTAGGGTTTAAGAGGCTCGATTCATTGCAGATTTTTTATTACTTCTAGATTTTGTGTGTTTAGACTTGATTTATTGCAGATTTTGTGTGGTTAAGTTCGATTCATTATAGATTTTATGATTTTTTTCTAGATTTTGTTTGCAGATTTTTTTTTGTGTTTAGTCTTTTTTAATGAATAAATATTTATGGTACGTTAAAAATTGTTTCTATTTTTAACTTCGTGTTTAAAAAATCTTTGTTACTTCAGATGTCAACAGAACATAATACTGAAGTTGCATCTATTCAAATGGAGATGAAAACTGATAATGGTATCCATGTGTCAAAACCTAAATCTGAGACATGGAGTCATTTTACGAGAACTAGTATAGCAAAAAAGGTTGCATGCAACCATTGTGGTGCATTGATTACATGTGCAACAAAAACATGTACATTGATTAGTGCAACGTTTAAACATATGAAGTGTTGCAAAAAATTTCTCGCGTGAGGATTGTGCTAGTGATGATGTTTTTGGTACCAAGAAGTTGAAACAAACTACATTACACCATAAAGTAGCAAAAAGTGATTTTACAAAGGGGATTCCGTCATTTGTTGCTTTTGATCAAGTGGCTTGTTGAAAAGCTTTAGTGATGATGATTATAATGGATGAACTTCATTTAGATTTGTTGAAAGGGCAGGATTTCGATCCTTTATAAGTGTGGTTCAACCTCGGTTTATCATTCTGATACGTGTGTCGAGTCTAGAATTTATAACCCGATTCACAACTCATCGCAAGGATACGGATCATTGCAACACGGGGTCAAACGCAAGGACCGATTGCTAAATCGAAAGCAAACAAGTGGAAGTAATGATGATGGAAGTGTATGGACTCAAAAGAAAGTAAAATAACAAAGCAAATAAAAACGTGTAACTATCAAGCAAAGATGACCATGGGTGTCGGGACCGTATTCGCGTGTATGGGCATATGCTAAGCATGCGAGAATCACGATATCGTACTTATATTCGGGAATCATCAAGCAACAAGAATAGAGAATTCACCTCCCGGTCTACCAACTCACTACCTACAGAGTAACTCGTCAATCTTTCGATCTATTCAAGTTAACCCTAGATGCATGAAGAACGCTATCATCAATCCTAAGTCGATCAAACCATATTCCTATGTGAATAATACGATCTATTCTATCGATGTTTATCCGAAACTAAACTCATATTCCTATGTAATTCAGAATCTAAGATCATTGATCAAGGGGTCAGCAAACATCAATCGAATAGAAACACAAATCGATAAAACCGAAATAAACATAATGTTGCAATCCAAGTTAGAGTTCAAACATACCCAAAACACAAACGAATCTCTAACCCACAGCCGTGGATCTACTCACGGTTCATGGAAAAATACAGAGTAAAACCGAAAACAGAAAGAAAAGAGGGAAAAAAAAGACTCATGTCGATAGCCGCTGCGATCTTCATGTTCCAACTCCTCCTCTTCTTCTCGAAACCTCGTCAACTCCTATTTCTCTCCCCAAAACTCTCCCAAGTCTGAATGAATCTCTTAGACGTCTGTAGGGTTCTTAAATAAACTCTAGGCGGTGCTCTCCAAGTCCTTCCCCAGTTCTGATTCTTTAAAATTCGAATTTTAAGTTTTTTTCAAATTTTGACTAGACCGAGTCAAGTCTTGACTCGACCGA